ATGAGATGTAAACGAGTACGAGACCTGTTGGCCCTGCCGCTCGTGTCAGTCACACAGCGCCCTGGTGTTACTGTGACTGTTAAGCTGCCTTATGTAAATGACACTTTCTAGCTAACTGTCGCCATGGCTACTGCGAAAAAATTCAAGCTTGATGTCTGATCATTTCAGTCATCACGGACAAATGACTTTGGATTTATTCAGCAGAATGATCGTGCTGTGTTTGCTCTCTGCTGTGAGAGTGTCGTGTGCCGCACGTCGAGTGTTAAAAGACACCAAAACAAAACACGATTAGACCTTCAAGGATAGTGCGGACCAGGCTGAAACGATTAAGAAAGCAGTATCTCGCTATGAGAAACAAAGTAATGTATTTAAAAACCTGAGTACTAGCAAAAACAATGCAAATGAGGCCAGCTACAAGCTAGCTCTGTGTATTGCTAAGCATGGTAAGCCTTTCACTGATGGAGATTTTATAAAAGCAGCTTTCCTAGAGTGCTCTGAGGTGTTATTTGATGGCATGTCAAACAAACACATGGTCATCTCAAGGATAAAAGACATGTCTGTCTCAGCTACAACCGTGGAGAGACGTATTTCTGAAATGGCTGCTAATGTAAGTGAGCAACAACCTGCTGCTTTAACAAATGCAACTGTATTTAGTGTTGCTCTGGATAAAAGTGTGGATATAAATGACATTCCCCGGTTGGCTGTTTTTGTTTATAGTGACACAGAGATACACGAGGAGCTCTGTTGTCTGACACTTATGCATGCCACTACCAAGGGAGAAGACATACTGAAGACTTTCACTGATCATTTTGAGGACAGAGGGATTGACATAAGAAAGATTTTTGCATTTACATCGGATGGTTCCCCTGTTATGGTAGGAAAAAACAAGGGGTTTACTAAGATGATTGGGGATAGAATTGGGCACCCCGTTGTACTGTATATTTCATCAAGAAAATTTATGTGCCGAGATCCCGAGCAGCGATCTCAACAAGGTGATGCCAACTGTTACAAAATTCTCTTCTCTTACACACAGAGTTTCAAGCTTTCCTTGAAGAGGTGGATAGTACTTACAAAGAGATACCCTTACACAGCAGTGTTAGATGGCTAAGCTATTGGAAGATATTGGAGAGATTTGTGGAATGCTTTGATGAAATCAAGATTTCCCTATCAGAAAAAAACTATCCTGAGCTGGAGGACAGAGATTGATTGCATTATGAAACTTGTCTTTCTCTCAGGAATCACTAAACATCTAAATGACTTCAACCTTCTCTTGCAAGGTGCAGGAAAAACAGTGATGGATTTGTATGATACTTGGGAGGCATTTGTTGCAAAACTTGGAATTAACTCAACAGATATCAAAACTGGCTCTTTCTGTTACGCCAAAAACTTATAAAGAACTTATCTGCAATTCATCCTGTCAACATTACTGATCTTCAGGTGTACATGCAACAATTAAAGTCAGAATTCTCAATCAGATTTCAAGATTTCCAACACATGGGTCCAGTGTTTTCATTTTTTAATCAGACCAGACACCTTCAAATACAGTGAGTTGAAAGTACCTCTCTGTGATTGGATGGGAATTGAGGATTGAGGAGTTGGAAATGCAGTTAATTGACTTCCAGACCTCATCACTGTGGTCAGCTAAATTTAAAGATCTTTGAGAAATACTGGAAACTCGTACGAATAATCATGCAGCCTCCATTTTAAGCTCCTGGACATCACTGCCTGATAAATTCAACTGCAAGAAAAAAAGTAGCTTTTGCACTGCTATCAGCATTTGGATCCTCATATCAATGTGAGCAGAGATTTTCACACATGAAGCATATCCTTAACCCCCATCGCAGTAGGCAACAGTGGATCATTCTGAGGATTGTGTGAAGCTCGTGGAGTCCAGATATTCACCTGAAATTTAACATTTGACAATAGGAAAGCAAGGGTAAGGATCACATTGATATGGTGGTTATGGATTTAAAATATAAAATATTGTTAATGACAAAGAATACTACATGCTGCAAAAATGTTACATTCATGTTCTGCACTTGCGGGAAAATCCATTTCATTTTGATTACAATGATCGCTACATACTATATAATTATGGTTCTAATTTTCATAAGTTATGGCCGCTATTTAATGGTGAAATAATCACACCTGGCACGCAAAAAAAAAAAAAAAAAATGGTATTAACTATCAACTGGCACACTTTGTTCAAAAGGTTCCCGACTCCGGATTTGTAACATAGCCCAATGTTTTTTTTTTTTCTCTCTCTCTCTCTTTTTTGCAGTCTCTCCCAGAATGAAGATCGCAAAATGAAATCATCATTAATTACTATTTGAGCTAAAAAATACAAACACAAAATATCAAAGCTTAATAAGTACCTAGACCCTCTAATCTAGACACTAGAGAGAGAGAGAGAGAGAGAAGAGAGAGAGAGAGAGAGAGAGAGAGAGAGAGGAGAGAGAGAGAAGAAAGAGAGAGAGCAGAGAGAGAGAGAGAGCGCTCTACAGCTTTTGGACATTGTTATGTATTTATTGAGAGAAGAAAAAAAGGAAATCGACAGAGAGAGAGAGAGAGAGAGAGAGAGAGAGAGAGAGAGAGAGAGAGAGAGAGAGAGAGAGAGAGAGAGAGAGAGAGAGAGCGAGAGAGCGAGAGAGAGAGAGAGAGAGAGAGAGAGAGAGAGAGAGAGAGAGCGAGAGAGAGAGAGAGAGAGAGAGAGAGAGAAGAGAGAGAGAGAGAGAGAGAAGAGAGACAGAGGAGAGAGAGAGAGAGAGAGAGAGAAGAGAAGAGAGAGAGAGAGAGAGAGAGAGAGAGAGAGAAAGAGAGAGAGAGAGAGAGAGAGAGAGAGAGAGAGAGCGAGGGACATTTTATGTTTTATTGAGAGAAGAAAAAAAGGAAATCGACAGGCGAAAGAGAGAGAGAGAGAGAGAGAGAGAGAGAGAGAGAGAGAGAGAGAGAGAGAGAGAGAGAGAGAGAGAGAGAGAGAGAGAGAGAGAGAGAGAGAGTCGTATACACTGTCTGCGTACAAGTTTATTATTTAATTTGTCGCTGTATTTCTTGTATTATTTTATTTCCACAATCTTTTCCAGTTGTAGTTTTCCTGTGAAATAAATGCACGTGTCTGCAATGTATATATCCGATGTGTAATTGATACTGGAACTGGAAATTATATCGATTGGTGAGAATTTTATTTCCTTTGCAATCTGTATCGATTTGACCCCCCCCCTCCCCCCAGTTTCACCGGTTGTCAGGGATTTGGAAGTTGGACGATATTGAGATAGTGTTTGTTCTTACTGATTGTGTCTTCTCTTCTTTTCTTTTTTTTATTTTTTATTTATTTATTTTTATTTTTATTTTATTTTTTTTTTTTTTGGTTCTCTTCCTCTCCGCCTTTTCCTCGTTGCTCTCCTTCTCCTTCTCCTCCTCTTTCTTCTACTTCTATTTCGTCTTCTCTCGTTCCTTTCTTCCTCCACCTTCTTTTCTTCTCCACTTCCTCCTCTTCTTTCTTTTTCTTTTCTTCTCTTCTTCTTTCTCCTCCTTCTCCTACTCCTCCTCCTCCTTTCACTTTTTCTTCTTTTCCTTCTTCCCTTTTTCCTCCTCCTTCTCCTTCTTCTTCGTTATCCCGTCTGTATTCGTAAAGAAAGGAAGAAAAGTAAGGAAAGAAAAATAAATGTATTGGTAATTTGACAAAGTTTAAATGGCAACGACTTACTCGTGTGTTTTTGGGGTACTATATTGTGCTTGTGTTTGTTTGTGTGCCTGGTGTGTTTGTATAATGTATTGTGTTTTGTGTGTTTGTAAATGTATATGTGCGTGTTTTGTGTTTGTATAAATGTATATGTGCGCTGTTTGTGTGTTTGTATAAATGTATATATGTGTGTTGTGTGGTATTTCTGAGTTTGTATAAATGTATCTGTGTGTTTGTGTGTTTGTATAATTGTGTGTGTGTATTTCTGGGTTTGTATAAATGTATAGTGTTTGTGTTTAATGTATGTGTTTGTATGTTTGTGAATGTATGTTTTGTTTGTATAAATGGTGTTTGTATATGCATGTTTGTGTGTTTGTTTGTGGTGTGTGTTTGTATAAATGTATGTGTGATTGTGATTTGTATATAATACGTGTGTATCTGTGTGTTTGTATAAATGTATGTGTTTATGTGTTTATAAGGGCGTGTGTGTGTGTGCGTAGGCGTAGGTGCACGTGTTTGTTTATGTGCATATATATAATGAATGGATATATAGTTGGATATATATATAAATAGACAGATAGATAGATAGAAAGATGGATATAGATAGATAGATAGATAGATTAGATGGATGGATAGAGATAGATAGATAGATAGACAGATAGACAGATAAGTAGGTAGATCGACAGCCAAGCAGGTAGGTAGGTAAGTAGATGTACACATGTGTATCTTATTATGCGTGTTTACACAAACAGTTCATGTGCACATGGTTATGCATATGTACACAAATATTATATATAATGCTTACAAAAACATATACATACACATCAACCTTATTGCTAGTCGTAATAAAGCTGGGAGCCAAATATTTCGGAGTGAGAAAGAGAAATAAAAGTATAAAGTGGAAATGTTTCACAAATGGAAAAGTTTCTGGATTGTGGGTGCTGTCCGGTCACGAGTGGCCAGTAGGCGTTTATCGCGGGTGAGTCATGGACACTTGTGACTTACCTCCATGTCTATTCTGACGTTTCGTTGTATTTGCCAAAAGTGCAAAATTCCGCTGAGAAGAAAATGGAGTGAGAGAGAAAGAGGAAATTTCTGTGGGAGAAATTTAGTATCATCTCTTAAAATTTGAAGATCCCTATTGCATAAAAAAAAGGATAGGTAGTATTCGAACAGATACGAAAGGACGGCATGAACAGAAAGCCACAAAGGAATACATGCACATATTTATCTCTCTCACGTGACTAAATGACTAAAGAGATACAGGAGTCGCAGATTGTCCTTACTCTCATTGAGTGTCCCGACCATGGCTGGGTCAGGTGTGCGTATTCCGGTGGGAGTGTTATTCTTATTTTCCATCGTTCTTCCGTGTCTAGGAAGATCCCACAATGTCACGCGGCCTAACATTGTTATCATGCTTATGGATGATGTGAGTATTTTTAGTTTTTCTATCAGTATGCGGGTGCAATTAAGGTTAAACGAATCAGAGCAACAAGTTTTACGGAAGTGGGCCCTGTAGGGAGCGTTAAGGCCATGCTCTGATTGATCACAGAAAACGGAAATTTAGGGAAGACTATCTCCTTTTTTCGTCTTTGTTGATAGGATTTTTTAATTTTATTTTCGGTTGCAGTTGTTTTTGTTCCCATTTGGTCCCAATATGAAGAATTGGATGAGGAGACAAGGGCAACTAATGCAGTCTCTCGATCTCTCATGCTGTCAGTCCTTAATTTGTTCAGGGACTAACTTTCCCTTCCTCCTTCCTGCATCTTCTGACCACCTCCTCCTCCTCTCCGTCGTCGTCGTCGCCCTCCGTCTTCTTCTTCTTCTTCTCTTCTTCTTTTCTTCTTTCTTCTTCTTCTTCTTCTTCTTCTTCTTCTTCTTCTTCTTCTTCTTCTTCCTCCTCCTCCTCCTCCTCCTCTTCCTCCTCCTCTTCTTCTTTTCTTCTTCTTCTATTTCTTCTTCTTCTTTTCCTCCTCCTCTCTCCTCCTCCTCATCATCATCTTCTCTTCTTCTTCTTCTTCTTTTCTTCTTCTTCATCTTCTTCTTCATCTTCCTCTTCCTCTTCTCTCTTCCTCTTCCTCTTCCTCCTCCTCCTCCTCCTCTTTCCTCTCCTCTCCTTCTTCCCTCCTCCCTCCTCTCTTCCTCCTTCTCCTCCTCCTCCTCCTCCTCCTTCTTTTCCTTCTCTTCTTCCTCTTCCTCTTCCTAATCCTCCCCCCTTCCCCCCAGAAAGACAGACGGAAAGACAGACAGAGACAAACAAACAAAGAGGGGAAGGGAGAAATGGAGAGAGATAGAAACAGAGAGACAGACAGACAGACAAAGAGACACAGAGAGAGAGTAAAACAGACAGTCAGAAGTAGAGAGAAAGAGCCAAACAGGTTTATTCAAAATATAACCTCAGTAACAATTATAGCTAATTCGTGACAATAATAATGATTTACACAACACCTCTCCAGGCTAAGAATATTGAAGATTTTCGGCCGGTTTGTTCAAATTGTGCCAGGCCCGACCCAATGAATTTTCATAAATACAGAGGCAAAAATGAAGGCATATCTGTCTATATATCTGATAGATATACATTTAACTATATATTTACCCGAATGATATACATGTCTAGACTGATGAATATGCATTTATTTCTTTACTAAATAAAGGCATATCTGTCTATATATCTGATAGATATACCTTTTACTATCTATTTACCCGGTTGTTATACATGTCTAGACTGATAAATATGCAATTATTTCTTTACTAAATAAAGGCATATCTGTCTATGTATCTGATAGATATACATTTAACTATATATATTGCCCGGTTGATATGCATGTCTAGACTGATAAATATGCATTTATTTCTTTACTAAATAAGCAGGTATCTGTCTATGTATCTGATAGATATACATTTAACTATCTATTTACCCGGTTGTTATGCATGTCTACACTGATGAATATGCATTTATTTCTTTACTAAATAAAGGCATATCTGTCTATACATCTGATAGATATACATTTAACTATATATATTGCCCGGTTGATATGCATGTCTAGACTGATAAATATGCATTTATTTCTTTACTAAATAAAGGCATATCTGTCTATGTATCTGATAGATATACCTTTTACTATATATATTACCCGATTAATATGCATGTCTAGCCTGATGAATATGCATTTATTTCTTTATTTATGCATGTCAAGTATATTAATATTCTTTGGGTCGGGATTCGCTCATTTCAAATAAACCGGCAGTTTAATTTCACGACTGATTTATTTCAAAAATCGACCTTGATGGATCACTTCGTTTATTTGCATTAAACTTCACGCAATTTAATCCATCAACACCAAGCATTTAATTTTAATTTTAATTAATTTTCAATAATTTACTTGCATATTTTCCCTGAGACAAGTTATTGTGATTGATTATAAGAATGTCGTAGATAAAAAAAAGATAATTATTTATTATTTGGCTTGAAAAGAGAGAGAGAGGAAGAGGAGAGATGGAAGGAAAGGAAAGAAGAAAGATTGGTCGAAAAAATTACGGTAAAAATATGAAAGAAGGAAAGAAAATAGGAAATGTATAAGTGTGTGTGTGTGTGCTTTCAGAGATTAATTTTCTTGTGATAAATACGCATTTTCTCTCTCTCTCTCTCTCTCTCTCTCTCTCTCTCTCTCTCTCTCTCTCTTCTCTCTCTCATCTCTCTCTCTCTCTCTCTCTCTCTCTTCTCTCTCTTCTCTCTCTCTCTCTCTCTCTCTCTCTCTCTCTCTCTCTCTTTCTCTCTCTCTCTCTCCTCTCTCTCTCCCTCTCCTCTCCCTCTCCTCCTCCCCCTCTCCCTCTCCCTCTCCCTCTCCCTCTCCCTCTCCCTCTCCTCTCCCTCTCTCCCTCATCCCCCTCCCCTTCCCTTCCCTCCCCCCACATTACCATTAAACCTATTACCATATTTACCATTTATTAATCCCAATTTCTCCCCCTCTCGCTCCCTTCCCCTCCCCCTCTTTACCCATTACCATTAACCCATTTACCATTTACCCAATATCTCTCTCTAACCACAGATGGGTTGGGGCGACCTGGGGTATTTAATGGGGAGCCGAGGTAGGGAGACGCCCAACATAGACCTCCTTGCCCGGGGAGGTATGAGTGCCACTGCCATGTACACGGCGGCGCACCTTATGTTCTCCCGTGTGAGTATGTGTTACGTTTGGGGTATGTTGTTGGTGTGTGCGCGGTTTTGTCGTGAGTATGGCTATGTGTATGGACGGTGTTGTCGCGTGGCATTTGTGGTATATGTGCTTTATGTTCGGCGTTCAGCGTGTGTGACTGTGTGGGCATGTAGTGACCACAATATTAAACCATCAGCCCGTTTGTTTTACGTCTGACAAGTTTTTGAGCGCCGGCATACTACTCTTCTGCTGCTCTCTTCTCTCATTGTGGAAGACATCCGGGTTATGTGATGTTATATACGATAATGTCTTCGGATTATGATTCTGGGTCGTGATGATTGGAGTCAGGTCTATCTTATCTGTCCCTATTTATACTACGTTGATTTGCCCAGGACGGAGGTACAATCCGTCCTCGGTTCCACCACGACGCCACGTCACTGACTCTTAGTCCATCTCATGGTAAAATTCCTGATGACGGTGGAATGGCCGGCTATCACTACCTCCGCCTACTCTGTGTCCTATGCGATCTATGGCTCTGTTTGTGTTATAATTAAGTTTATCGCATGCTGGGTACACTGTCCGCAGGTATAGCACGCAGTTCATGACTGTCTACATCTTGACAGCGTAGGAGCTTGACTACACGCAAGCATGGTGAATATTATACAATTGCCGCTCTTTCAAGTATTCGTGTCAAGTCCTTGGAGTTCTATTGTTGCCTTCGTTTTCGTATGCTATTTGTGTAGGGAAGCTATATTGGTACTTGTGTAAGTGCGCTAACGGGCCCAATGGGTTATGGCTTTCGTATAGTGCTGGTGGCATACTGTGGTATATAGTTGGGATATTAAATACTATTGATACTGGGATTAGCTCTTGATAGATCCATCGTTTTTTTTTCTCTCGCAATAGTAATATTATAGTCACTTAGTACTCGAATGGGATGATAACAAGCCATGATCATACCATATTGTCCGTGATAGGGGTCGTGATCTTATACTGTAATGTGATTAATAAATGATAATGTTAATAATATTAATGATAATCTTGGTAATATAATTATATGATTAATGTATTCAATAATTAAGGATTAGGCAGCACACTCATGATATAATCATGTTAGCAATAATAATTTAATCGATTTACGACTGACGGATCCACATTGCAATCCACAGCACTGCTCAAACCTACCACGAATCCTCAGTACCTTACATCAGTACATAACTGTCGCTATTAATGACTGAACTGTTCAATACATTATTCAATTGATAATGTTAATAAATATTAATGATAATAGTTAATTAATAAATAATCGTTAATGATAAATAATGATATAACGGCACCAGACCAACCATCAATCATCAGACACACATCTAGCCCAGCTGCACAAGAGCCCAATGATAATGAGAATGAAAATTCAAAATTGCATAGATAAATATACGATATACTACATTCCTCACGCACCTTTTAGTTGCCCTCAGATAAATGTTCCACATATTAAACTTGTATTAGAATACTGTTCTCATTTCGCCCCACAGGCTCGTGGCTATCCCCACTCTCACGGGTCGTATCTCTTACCAATCCGGAAATGGTTCTTATTTCGGATAACGCGCCAGAAGACAGAAACGGTTTTTACTGGATGAGCAAATCCGAAGATAGCATCAACCTCTTATAAGACCGATCATGACCGATGCATCCAAATAAAAAACCAACGCAATACCCTAAGGCAATACTACTAAAATCACATACAATACTAGAAACAAAAATCATAAATAAAGTATACCACAATCAAAAACCATACCCCGCGTGTAAAAGCCACTGCGCACAAGAAATTGAACAATGGACCGAGGAAAATGATTTTTTTCTCTTTGCTTTATTCTACTGTTTTGTATTTTCTTTGTCGTTCTCTCTTTTTTCCTGAGGGTGGAGGGGGCAACCGTTTATTTTGGTGTCCTTTCCTTTCCTACATCTCCTCTTCCTCCACACCTCCTCCTATCTCTCTCTCACTCTCTCTCCTTCTCCCTTCTCTCATCACCTCTCCATCCTTCCTCTTCACTACCATATCATCTTCATCTACTCTCTTCTTCTCAATCTCTCCCTTCCCCTCCCCTAAGCCCTCCTCTCACCGCATATTACCCTACCATAATGCCCTCCCCTTCAGCCCAATCTTCCCTCCCCCATCTGCCCCCATCCCCTTCTCCCTCTGCCGCCCGATCCGACACTCTTCCCCTCTCTCCCCATACCCTCCCTCCCCATTCCATGCCTATCGCCCTCCCTTCCTTCCTGCCTACGGTGTACTCTCACTCCTTCGCTGCTCACCTCTCTTCCCTCTCTCTCTCTCCTCTCTCTTCTCTACTCCATCATCTCCAATCTCACATAACTCGCTACCTCTCTCCTCTCAAGCTTACTACTCCTTCTCCCTCTCTTCTCCTCTTGCTCTCTCTGACTGTCTTCTCTCCCTCTTCCTCATCCTCCCTCCTCTCCACTAGACCTCCCTCTCACTTCCCTCCCCTCGTCCCTGCCTCCCTCTGCTCTCTATTTTCACGCCTTTTCTCCCTCTCCATACTCTCTCTCTCATACTCTTCTCTACATCATACTGCTCTCTCCTTCTCCTCTCTCTTCTCCTCGTTGCTCTCTCTCTCTCTCTCTTCTCCCTCTCTTCATCTCATCCCTCTCTCATCTTCTCTTCCGGCAAACACGACACGTCTCTATGAACTTGTAAACCTATGTCCTTATTACTGGTCATCATTTACTCACGTCAATATCAAGCTATGCAAACTGTATACATTTGACCCACACCACATCGACTATTTCAGCATGTCTGCCTGCAATGCACGCACCCTAGTTCAACCTTCTCTCTCTCTCCCTCTCCTCTCCTCCTCTCTCCTCGTCCATCTCATCTCCTCATCTCTCTCTCTTCTCCTCATTTCTACCTTCCTGGCTTCGCTCCTCTCTCTCTCCTCCTCCCACTGCCTCCCCACTCCCCACCCTCCTCCTCATCCTCCCCTCCGTCTCCCTTCCCATCCCTCCCTCCCTCCCTCTCTTACAGTCTCGTCTCGGTTTCTTCCTTCCCTCCCTCCCATTCCCAATCTCTTCCCTCCGTCCCTGTCCCCCCTCTCGCCACACTCCTCCTTCGCCTCCCTCTCCTCCTCCTCCCTCCCTTCCCTCTCTCACCGTCTCGCTCTGTTCCTTCCCTCCCTCCCTCCCTCCCTCCTAGTCCCTCCTCCTGCTCCCTCCCTCCCTCCTTTCCCTCCCTCCTCTCTCGTCTCGTCTCACTGTTCTTCCTCTCCCTTTTGCCCGCCCCATCTGCGTGAACAAAAATACATTTATTAGTATCATGAAATACAATGGTCCAGGTGTTATCTCTTGTTTTCGTTGTTTCACTGCAAGTGATTAGAACGTATCAATCGGTGTCAGGGTTCGTGTTCCTGCATATGGCGTGTAGTACTCTTTCATCACCCATAGCCACAGTGCATATCCATACACTGGACATTGTGGGTGGGCAAATATGAATCAAGGGGTTGCTGGTTGGGCGGAGGAATCGAGGTTGTGTGTGATGGAGGGTGGGAGTTGTTGTAATGACTGTATAGCTGGAGCGGATTGGCTCTGGTGGTTTGTGCTGTGCTGTCTGCGTCCTCATCCACATACCTACTATCGCCATCTCCACCGATCACATACCTGTGCGTGCTTGCCGATGTCGCATCCTGTATACTCTCGCGACAAGCAATCGCACACCTCCAGCATAGTGCACTAGCAAAGCGATCGAGCAGCAGCTCCATCTGCATGCAACTTCACCTAGCTCTGTACTCAACACTGCCCGAAAAACCTAGTGTGTGATCGTCCTATCCTCACGCACTACAGCGAGCCCGCTATCCAGAACACACTTAGTGCGAACTACTTGCGTACTCCTGCGCGTAGTGCGCTCCAGCCGCGTCACTCATGTAACCGATTGCGCATCTCATGACCGCTTATTACAACTTCAGCTCGGTCGCAATAACGCGATATATGTCATTCCAGTCCGCCGACGATATCACTGTCTTGACGTGTTAGTGCTGTGTGTTAGTGTGTGTGTAGTGACTCCTTTGTTGACTCTATAACACGTGGCGACCGAATGCGGTATCGCTGTGTGCGCTCTGTCGTGTACTGTTTGTGGACCGTGTTGTTGCTATGTGTGAATGCCTTTATTACTAAGGTTTTTCGTTTCCCTGCAATCATAAGTTCATGCTATATGGCGGTTCGATTTCAAGCATCATATATCTATCTTTTTCACTCTCCTTTTCTTCTTCTACATATGGCAGTCGCAATGTCCATGACCATTAGACTCACAGATTGTCCAGATTTGGTGTGAACAACGAAGCAGTAAGGACAAGACGCAACCAACACGGCACTGTGTATATGCAATAACAGCGCCCGAAGGACTTTTCGCTGCATGCACACCTTGATCGAAGGACAATTTAGCGAAAGGCCTTCGGGCATATTCGTGTGTTTTATTGTCCTGTCCCTTACGTTTTCTTTCACTACCGCAGATTCTCAACACATAGAATACACCGATCTATACCTCTTAATATCGAGCGTATCTCCATCACCCTATATTCTCTTTGCTTCTTTCATTCTCTCGTTGTGTATATCATTATTATATTAGCTAGTCGCAGCTAATACTTATATTACTACTACGTAATACTACATAATTATTAACCCTTCCACTACCTATACTAAGTATATGATTTATATAATTAATATATATATATATGTACCTGTATGTCTCACGCCGTTTTTCTTAATGTAATCAGGTTTCGAAAAATTTTGAGCTCACAACATATGAACCTCTACCGATCAACACGCGTCTCTGACTGCACACCTTTGAAGGTCTCTTTACAAACCATATCAAACATAAAAATATATGATAATTAAATGTCCTAATCCATCCTGCATGCATCCATCACCTTCTTACCCATCGACGTGCCTCCGCTCTCCGACGCTCACCTCCTGCCACCATCTCGCTTCATCTCCTCACACGACATCTCCTATCAGCGGCGCTCAAGACTACGACCATACACCGATATTTAGCCACCATCTACCTAATCACGCCCCGACACTCACTAGCCGGACATCGGTGGGCGCGGGATCTCAAACGACGAAGTTCTGCTCCTGAACTCCGGGCGCTCCTTCCAGTGGCTACACCTAGCGCCCCTGTGTGGTGGAAGTGAGTGACGTTAAAGGCTTTCCTCTATTCTTCTCATATAGATATTATAAATCAATAATATTTCTTACCTTTATAACCTCTTCATTAACGTTTGAGTTATTGTATGTATCCTGTCTCGGCGCTACCACGATATATAACTCATACCTGCCCTCACCCAGCAACATACAGCTGTATTCCTATATCAATAATAATTAAACGTTTAAAATTATGCTTCAGCATATCAGTTCATAACCTATATTCACTCTTGTTTTCTTTTTTTATTTATTTTTTTTTAATGTGTGTGATCACCTCTGATATGCTATGTGCATGTGCTAGCTGTGCGACACTCAATGAATCTCACACTCCGCCATCGTAACTCCGCCCCACCAGCGCACGATCAGCGCTTACTGCATACCAGACATGAAACAATGCAAATCACTCAAAGTAATGAATTCCTCCACTATCGCATCTACAAGTTCTGTGTGTGTGTGTGTGTGTGAATGGTGTTTGTTGCCCTACGGATCACATCACGACTCTACGTAATGCGGCAACCGCCACAATCAGGTATGATCTCCGATAACCCCTTAACTCGGCCGTGAATGTGTCGTGAATACTCAAAGGCTGTGTGATGTGAACACTGTGGTGTGTCATGTCGTGAGTGGCTGTCTGTTTAGGTGTTCTGTGTTTCGTGTCATACGCAGCAAACATCAGTCTCGTGGTGATGTGTGTGTGTTTGTGTCTGTGTTTCGTGTGTGTGTGTGACCTAATTTAGTATTAAATCCTTTCACGTTATTTTAGGATCGCCCCAACTTACAGTCATTCTATCATCTAGCTACATCGCATGATAAGTATTCGATCCGCTCTCTCCTTGCCAGCCCGCATACACATCACTGTGCATGTACAAGAGCACAAATAAACCACGATTAGCGAACGTTCCAGGATACACGTTTTCTTCTCAATGCTTCTCTTGACTATTTATACCATACCTGTCATCACACCAAATCATTCATTAGTAAATAATGGTTGATGGACATTGGACCTCGTGAATACGACTTAATATTCCCGACTCAACAATTAAAATAAACGATCTCAACCTATATTAATAATCCATAACATCATCATCATTATCACCTCATCATTAACTATATAACTCATCATCGTCAACTTATACCCTGTTCACCACCTCTCTTCTCTCTCTCTCTCTCTCTCTCTCTCTTCTCTCCTTCTCTCTCTCTCTCTCTCTCTCTCTCTCTCTGCTCTCTTCATCTCTCTCTCCTGAGCTCTTTCTTTCCTTAGCTCTTTCTCTCTCTCCTCTCTCTCTCTCTCTCTTCTTCTCATTTCTCCTCTCGCGTTCTTCGTCTCCTCACTCTCACCCATCTTTCATCTAGCGCTCCCTCATCCGCTCTTCTCTCAAACATAGCGTCTCATCCTCCTTCCTCGCTCTCATTCTCCTCCTCGGTCACGTCACCGCGTCTGCCTTCTCCCTTCTCCTCTCTGCCACCATGATCTAAGGACGACTATGTACAACCTTCAACCATTACAACCTCAGCTATTCGACACGATAACCTACTGCACGACCCTACACGATTACACCCCCAACCAGCAATATTTTCGATCCCCATTCCTCTCCTCCTCACGGCACTTAGGACATCGATCCCCTACCTCCCTCTCGAACGCGGCTTCAACAGGTGCGAGACTTACTCGACGGTATGACCTCGGTCGATCCAGCCCGCATCTCTGCATATCCCCTACATCGCAAAATCTCTCCACTTATCTCTCGTCCCCTATTAACGGACGAAGACGACACCGAATATTCCGTGTGTTCAGAGATACCGAAGATGCGTTGGGAGGTAGCTGTCTCCCCATCCAGAGCCCAGACCCCCGACGAAACTCTAACACGCACGGAACCATTCGTCAGCACGATCCTCCACACCTGCCTCACCACAACACTCGTACTCACTACGTTTTCTATCTGCCAATCAACGTCCCCTCACATCAGTCATACTAGGCATACTCCACCAAACGGCGGTACATCCTTCAATAACCCAGCCACTTCGGTCGCCATCAGTCACTGCAATCGCTGACGACACGGAAGCACACGTCACTACACGCGATCCGGCTCCCAACGGCCATGGTATGCTGCCGCGACTCTACATCTCCCCATACTGACTACCACACCACACAAAGGCCTCGTCACAGCAGCCTCCATATAGTCATAGACAGATTATACACCCCCGGTAACCTCATTCCGCATGGCTGAATTGCCTCCACTCCGCTTTGGGGAGGTGGGTGTACTGGAGAGGGGGGGAACAGCCTCTGCATACTTAGCACTCCATCCTATGTGACCACGCAAATCATCCCCATCTACTATAAGCCCTCACAATACACACGACTTCGTAACTCACTTCGACTCGAGCTCCAGGCCACTAGAGCGAGATGTCCGGGTATCGCAGGGTGTACTAGGGGACATCCCGACTCAGAACGACTCGACTCCGTGCCCTAACCCCGCCTCTCCACATGCTTCGCGACATCAAGCCACGTCACATCTCGCTCAGCTGAATCAGATCAATCTCTGGGATCACAACTTAACACTCCATCCTGCGATTACACATCACATCCACACGTGCGACCCGGCGCTACTCATCAGACACTCTAACCCTGCCAGCCAGAACTCCGCGCACACGACCGTACGATCTAATAGAACACCGAGCCACTCCAGCTGGGGCCCTATGAATACGTGTCCATCCGTGCTCCCACTGTCTACCATTCCAAGCCTCACACCGACATTAATACCAAAAAGGCACCCGGCGAGCGGGACTCAGATCTGGTCTATCCCCCTTACTTGTTCGTATATGTCTTATATATGTATCTTGTTCCTTGTGTCCACTTATCATCGCCATCATTGATGATCATCACTCATCAGTATTAATATCAATTATTATTATTGTTGTTGTTGTTGTTGTTGTTACCGATTGTTATTATTTGTTATTACTGCTATTGTTCTTATCATAATCATTTTTATGATTATGATTATTTTCATTATTGTTTTTAATTTACTCATTTTTTATTACCATTCATATTATTAGAAATACCAATATTACCATTATTGTTATTGTCATCATCTTTATTATTATCATTATCACTTATTATAATCTATATTATGACAATAGTTATTTTTATCGTGGGCACTATCATCATTTTATTATTATTATTATTATTATTATTTTATCATTATTATTATCATTATTATTTTATGATTATTATCATGAGTATTACCATTAGTAGTAGTAATTATTATTATTTGTATTATTATGAGTATTACCATTAGTAGTAGTAATTATTATTATTTGTATTATTATGAGTATTACCATTAGTAGTAGTAATAGCAGTTTTGTCATCGTCACCATTATCATCATCATAACCACCACCACACTACCATCATTCTTATCATCATTATCACAATCACCATCATCACCAGCCATCATTATCGAAAATTTTAGTTCTTGTATCTGAACATTGGGAAAAAAAAAGGTTGCATTTATTACAAAAAGTCACCATCATTAGCTCATACAACAGCGATGACATTGAAGGCCCCTAAACCACAAAATAAAAAGTATATATAATTAAATGATAATTAATTCTCCCCCCCCCCTACACCCCGCCCCCTTTCCACCCCCTCCCCTCCCCCTCACCCTCCCCCCCCCCTCTCCCCTCCCCCTCCCTCCCCCCCTCTCTCACCCCCCCCTCTCTCCCCCCCCTCTCACCCTCTCCTCACCCTCCCCCCCTCCTTCCCCCCTCCCTCTCCCTCCCCCCTTCTCCCCCCCCTCCCTCCCCCTCCTCCCCTCACCCTCCCCCTTCCTCCTCCTCCTCACCCTCTCTCCCCCTCCCCCCCCCCCCTCCCCCTTCCCCCCCTCCCTCTCCTGCTCCCCCCCTCACCCTCCCCCTCCCCCTCCCTCCCCTCACCCTCCCCCCCTTTCTCACCCTCACCCCCTCCCCCCCCCCCCTCTCACCCTCACCCTCTCCCTCCCCCTCACCCCTCCCTCCCCCTCCCCCCTCTCTCCCACACACAGATACTACGAGCAGTTCGCCATCAACCGAACCACCGGCGAGTCCAACATGACGAGACTCTACACCCAAGAAGCCGTCAAGTTCATAGAGCAAGTGGCCGGGAAGAGTCCGTTTTTCCTGTACTGGGCGCCGGACTCTACGCATGCGCCGACCTACGCTTCGAAGGACTTTCTTGGGACTAGTAGGAGAGGTGGGTTGGGTTGTTGTTTGTTGTTGTTGTTTGTTGTGTTTGTTGGAGTCAGTATTGTGTTGTTGCGATTTTTTTTCAGTTTCTATATTGTACGCTATCTGTAAACTCTTTATTAAGCTGCTTTCTTTTTTTTCTTTTATATTCAAACAAGTGGGTTTTATTGTTGTTGTTGTTTTTGTTATCAATATTATGTTATTATGATTTTTTCACTCTTAAATTCTACTCTATTTATAAACTCTTTGATAAATTACTTTTTTTCTTTTCCATTAAACCACGTCTACCTTACTCTTTCTTCAATTCTACTCCGTATATAAATTCTTTATTAGACTATTTTTTTCTCTCTCTTTCTTAAATTCTACTCTAAAAAGTACTTTATTTCTTTTCTTTTACATTTAACTACGTCTGTAAACTACTTTTAAATAAACTACTACTCTCTCTGAAATTCTTCTCCGTTTATAAACTCTTTATTAAATTTATTAATAAATAATTAAATTTTCTCTCTTTCTTAAATTCTACTCCCTCTGTAAACTCTTTAGTAAATTCCTTTTTTTTATTTTCTGTTACATTTAACCACGTATATATGCTGCTCTTAAATAAAATACTTTTCTCTTTCGCATCTATAAGCTACTCTTAAATGAACTACTTTCTTCTTTCTTAAATTCTACTTGCCCTATAAACTCTTCAATAAACTACTGTTTTCTTTCGTTCTTTGATATTCAAAAGGCCTCTATAAACTCTTTAATAAACTTTTCCCCTCTTTTCTTAAATCGTACCCCATCTATAGACTCTTCAATAAACTTTTTTTTTCATTCAACTGCATCTTGAAATTTTATTTATTATTTTTTTTTTTACTTAATTTTTTTTTTACTTATTTTTTATCTTTCCTTTTTTCTTTACCTATTCTTTTTACTCCATTTTTTTTCTTTACTTATGTTTTCTTTACTTTTTTCTTCTTTACTTTTTTCTCTTTTTTTCTTTACTTATTATTATTATTGTTATTTATTTATTTTTATTTTTTTTTTTACTTTACTTTATTCTTCCATTCCAGATCGCTACGGAGACGCGGTGAGGGAGCTGGACGCGGGCGTGGGGGCCATCGTGGGCGCGCTCAGGAAAATGGGCGTCGCTGAGAACACCCTGGTGGTCTTCTCGTCCGATAATGGGGCGGCGCTTGTTAGCAAGAGAGGGTGAGGGGAGAGAGAGAAGAGAGAGAGAGAGAGAGAGAGAGAGAGAGAGAGAGGAGAGAGAGAGAGAGAAGAGAGGAGAGAGAGAGAGGGAGGGAAGGGGGTTGGAGTTGAGTAAGGATGAGAGAGGTGAGTGGAGGAAAATGAGGGAAGAGAGAGAGAGAGAGAGGGAGAGAGAAAAAAAGTAATAAGGATAAAAATTATGAAAGCTCATACTAAAATTTTTTCATAATGATTGTGGTGACAAAAGTTATACCATTTTCTTAAAAAAATGGTAGTGATAATGAAGGTGTTGATGATAACGGTGACGATAATGTCGACAAATTACAGTAATAACGTAATGATAACAATAATAAAGATAATGATGATAACATAAAAATAATAATAAAGATAATAACAACAACAACAATAATAAGACAATAATAATTACATAACAGTAATAATAACGATAATAACATATCAATAATGATGATAATAACAATAAGGATAATGATGATAATAACATTTTTCTCCCTTCTATACAGGCGGCAGCAACGGACCTTTTCTCTGCGGGAAACAAACGACTTTTGAAGGAGGAATGAGAACACCTGGTATATTTTGGTGGCCCGGTGTCATACCAGCTGGTACTGTCACACACCAGGTAAGTTGATGAGTTGAGTCCCCTCTATTTCTCTCTCTTTTTCTTTCTCTCTCTATCTATCTATCTCTCTCTCTCTTTCTGTCTCTCTCTCTCCTCTCTCTCTCTCTCTCTCTCTCTCTCTCTCTCTCTCTCTCTCTCTCTCTCTCTCTCTCTCTCTCTCTCTCTCTCTCTCTTCTCTTCTCTTTCTGTTTCTCTTTCTGTTCTCTCTCTCTCTCTCTCTCTCTCTCTCTCTCTCTCTCTCTCTCTCTCTCTCTCTCTCTCTCTCTCTCTCTCTCTCTCTCTCTCTCTCTCTCTCTCTCTCTCTCTCTCTCTCGCCTCTCGTTCTCTCTCTCCTCCTTTTTACTTATTATTTATTTATTTATATGTATTTACTCTTTTATTCATTCTCTCTGTCCTCCTTTCTGAACAGGCCTAGGCACAAATAGACCTATCTTCCAAGGCAGTCGGAAAAGCAAGAACAACTAGATTCTAAACTATTTCTCCTTCTTTACCTTTTTATCTATTTTCCTTTTGTATTCGATCACCTCTTTACCTCATTTATTCACCCTTTCTCTATCTCTCTTTCTCAACAGGTCTGGACGCCGATAAAACTTCGAATAAGCAATAACTACATTTTAATCCATTTCTCTTTCTTATCCTTTTTCCCTTTCTTTCTTATTCTATCCTTCCTTCCATCCCTCTTTCATTCATCCTCTCTCTCTTCCCCCTTTCTCAACAGGTGTGGACGCAATTTTAATCAATTTCTCCTTCTTATCCTTTTTCCCTTTCTTTCTTATTCCATCCCTCCTCCTTTCCCTCTTTTATTCACCCTTTCTCTATCCCCCTTTCTCAACAGGTCTGGCTACAGATAATACTTCGACCAAGCAAGAACAACTACATATTTATCACACTTCTCCTTCTTTACCCTTTTCCCTTTCTTTCTTTTTTCCATATCTCATTCCATCCCCTTTTTATTCACCCTCTCTCTATTCCCCCTTTCTCAACAGGTGTGGACCCAAATAGACCTATTTTCTACGGCAGTCGACCAAGTAAGGACATCTACATTTTAATCCATTTCTCCTTCTTATCCTTTTTCCCGTTCTTTTCTATTCCATCCCTCCTTATTTCCCTTTTTTATTCACCCTCTCTCTATTCCATCTTTCTCAGCAAGTCTGAACACCAATAAGACTTCGAGTAATCAATAATAACAATAATGATACATTTTAATCCACTTCTTCTTATTATCCAGTTTCCCTTTCTTCCTTACTCCACCCCTCCTTCCATCCCTCTTTTATTCACCCTCTCTCTATTCCCCCTTTCTCAACAGGTCTGGACCCAAATGGACCTATTTTACACGGCAGTCGACCAAGCAATAATAACTACATTTTAATCCACTTCTCCTTCTTGTCCATTTTCCCTTTCTTTCTTACTCCATCCCTCCTTCCATCCCCCTTTTATTCACTCTCTCTCTATTCCCCCTTTCTCGAAAGGTCTGGACCCAAATGGTAATCAATAATAACAATAATAACTACATTTTAATCCACTTCTCCTTCTTGTCCTTTTCCCTTTCTTTCTTACTCCACCCCTCCTTCCATCCCCCTTTTATCCCCCCTCTCTCTATTCCCCCTTTCTCAACAGGTCTGGACCCAAATGGACCTGTTTTCCACGGCGATCGACCAAGCAAGATTAACTGCATATTAATCCACTTCTCCTTCTTTACCCTTTTCCCTTTCTTTCTTACTCCACCCCCCCTTCCATCCCCCTTTTATCCCCCCTCTCTCTATTCCCTCTTTCTCAACAGGTGTGGACCCAAATGGACCTATTTTCCACGGCGATCGAATTGGCCGGAGGAACGATACCGGAAGACCGAAAGATAGACGGTCTGCCTCTCGCTCGCGCTCTCCAGCATCCGGAACTGGAGATAGCAAGGTAGGAGAGAGGGAGAGGGAGATGGGAAGGAAGAGGGAGATAGAAAGGAAGAAGGGGGGATAGAGAGGGAGAGAGAGAGGGAGAGAGACGGTCTCCCTCTCGCTCTCGCTCTCCAGCATCCGGAACTGGAGATAGCAAGGTAGGAGAGAGGGAGAGGGAGATGGGAAGGAAGAAGGAGGTATAGAGAGGGAGAGGGAGGTGGAAAGGAAGAAGGAGGGATAGAGAGGGGAAAAAGGAGATAAAAAGGAAGAGGGAGGGATAGAGTGGGAGAGGGAGATAGAAAGGAAGGAGTGATAGAGAAGGAGATAGACGGTCTCCCTCTCGCTCGCGCTCTCCAGCATCCGGAACTGGAGATAGCAAGGTAGGAGAGAGGGAGAGGGAGATGGGAAGGAAGAAGGAGGGATAGAGAGGGAGAGGGAGATAAAGGGCAAGAGGAGGGATAGAGAGCAATAGAGTGGGAGAGGGAGATAGAAAGGAAGGAGTGATAGAGAAGGAGATAGACGGTCTCCCTCTCGCTCGCGCTCTCCAGCATCCGGAACTGGAGATAGCAAGGTAGGAGAGAGAGAGAGGGAGATGGGAAGGAAGAAGGAGGGATGATAGAGAGAGAGAGGGAGATGGGAAGGAAGAAGGAGGGATAGAGAGGGAGATGGAAATGGAAAGGAAGAGCGAGATGGAAAGGAAGAGGGAGTGATAGAGAGGGAGAGGGAGATAGAAAGGAAGAAGTGATAGAGATGGAGAGAGACGGTCGCTCGCGCTCTCCAGCATCCGGAACTGGAGATAGCAAGGTAGGAGAGAGGGAGAGGGAGATGGAAAGGATGAGGGAGAGATAGAGGGGGGAGGGAGATAGAAAGGAAGAGGAAGTGATAGAGAGGGAGAGAGAGAAGGAGATAGATAGTCTCCCTCTCGCTCGCGCACTCCAGCTTGTATATAGGAGAGAGGGAGACGTAGTGGGACATGGAGAAGGGGAGAGAGGGAGAGGAAAAGGAGAGAGCAGAGAGGGGGACTGCAAGATAGACGGAGGGAGAGGAGAGAGGGAAGGAGAAAGAGAGAGAAGGAACAACAAAGGAGAGATAGGGAGAGGGAGAGAGCATTCCAGAACTCGAGATAGCAAGGTAGGAAAAGTGAAAAGGGAGGAAGAAGAAGAAAAAGAAGAACTGGGATATAATAGAAATAAAAACAGTGAGAACACAGAATACTAGATAAAAAGGGATGGAATGAAACGTATATAAACAGATGAGAAAGGGAATTGAATAAGTAGAATAGAGTAACAAACCAAAAGGTAAGGAGGAAAACGAAAGAATAAAGAAATGATGAATAAAAGGAAAGAAAAAGAGATTAGACAATAGAATAACAACTTTGGAAAGGGAGCGTAAGAAACAGAAAAAGTGATAATGAAGATAGGAAGACAAATAGAGAAGGAGATAAAAAAGGAAGCAAAATGAGAGCGAAGACAAGATGGTGAAGGAATGTAAGAAATTATTCAATTATATTTAAT